CGCTAGCCCGCGGGATCCCGCTCGGGCCTTGCAAAGGCAAGCGAAGCCACGCTCGGGATCCCGCTCGGGATCCCGCTCGGGATCCCGCTCGGGGCGAACGCGGATGCCACGCAAAGGCGTCACTCTTGCGGAAGCCATACAGTTAGCACACGCCAGACCCTCTTGCACCTCGTTTGGCCGTGTCAGCCAGGACTCTTTGCATTACGCTTGCCAACGCGCTTCTCCTACAGTACTCGCCGTTTCCTGCAAGGGCAGCCCAGCTGTCTTGATAATTGAATTCGGCTTTCGGAAATAAAAAGAACGGGCAGCCTTAACTCCACCCCTAAAAGCCTGACAACTCCACCCCTAAAGCCATGCTTCCTGCGACTTGAAAGGGCGCCCGTAGCAACAAAACACGACATTATCAAGAAGCGCGCATTGTCCGAGTGTTGCACCATTTGGCATCCAAATGCAAATGCATTCAAGTCCCGAACTCAAGCTGGGCTAGGACACTGTGTAAAAGCCTTACCAGCAAGAGAACTGCAAGTCCATAATCCTGAAGAAACACCGTGCTCTGGTTTCACTCTTGAAAGCCCACAAATACGCTCGAAGTTTTGCCGGGGCCGCGCCCGCAAACAGGCTTGAGGCCCCGCCCGGGCCGAGCACAGACGCCGCGCAAGGCGCTGGTAACGCGCAGAGGACCAAAACGGCCAGGCTCGCTAGCCCGCTCGGGATCCCACTCGGGCCAAGAACGGATGCCACGCGAAGCACCGCTCGGGAGTTCCGGGGCGAGCGCGGATGCCACACAAAGGCCTCAGACCCCCTTGCGGAAGCCATACAGTTAGCACACGCCAGACCCTCTTGCGCCTCGTTTGGCCGTGTCAGCCAGGGCTCTTTGCATCACGCCTGCCAACCCGCTTCTCTACTGCAATAGCTGTCTTGACAATTGAATTTGGCTTTGGGATTCACAAACAACGGGCCCCTATAAAAGCCTGGCAAGGCCATCCCCAAAGCAATGCTTCTTGCGACTTGAAAGGACGCCCGTAACAAACATCAACGACATCATCAAGAAGCTCGCGTTGTCCGAGTGTTGCGTCATGTTGCATCCAAACGCAAACGCATTAATTATCGCAGCGGACAGTTGGGCCCGTGTAAAGGCTTTACCGCAAGAAAAAGACAAGTCCATCATCCTGAAGAAGCACCGTCCTCTGATTTTACTCTTCAAAGCCCACAAATATTCTCGAAGTTTTGCCGGGGCCGCGCCTGCAAACAGGCTTGGGATCCCGCTCGGGCCGAGCACAGATGCCGCACAAAGGCGCTGGTAAGGACCAAAGCAGACACGCTCGGGATCCCGCCGGGCCAAACCCGTGATAAGGACCAACACCGTCACGCTCGGGAGTCCACTCGGGCCAGCTATGGATGCAACAACGCGCAGGCGCCTGCAAGGACCAAAGCGGCCAGCTCGGGATCCCGCTCGGGCCAAGCACGGGTGCCACGCAAGGAAAAAGCAAAGGCAAGCGAAGCCACGCTCGGGATCCCGCTCGGGATCCCGTTCGGGGCTGCCACGCAAAGGCGTCACTCTTGCGAAAGCCATACAGTTAGCACACGCCAGACCCTCTTGCGCCTCGTTTGGCCGTGTCAGCCAGGGCTCTTTGCATCACGCCTGCAAACCCGCTTCTCTACTGCAATAGCTGTCTTGACAATTGAATTTGGCTTTGGGATTCACAAACAACGGGCCCCTATAAAAGCCTGGCAACTCCACCCCTGAAGCAATGCTTCTTGCGACTTGAAAGGACGCCCGTAGCAAAAATCAACGGCATCATCAAGAAGCTCGCGTTGTCCGCGTGTTGCATCATGTTGCATGCAAACGCAAACGCATTATCGCAGCGGACAGTTGGGCCCGTGTAAAAGTTTTACCCGCAAGAAAGAGACGAAGTACCGTGCTCCGATTTTACTCTTCAAAGCCCACAAATACGCTCGAAGTTTTGCCGGGGCCGCGCCCGCAAACAGGCTTGGGATCCCGCTCGGGCCAAGCACAGATGCCGCGCAAAGGCGCTGGTAAGGACCAAAGCAACCACGCTCGGGATCCCGCTCGGGCCAAACCCGTGCCAAGGCGCAGATAAGGACCAACACCGTCACGCTCGAGAGTTTAATGCAACGCGCAGGCGCCTGTAAGGACCAAAGCGGCCAGGCTCGCTAGCCCGCTCGGGATCCCGCTCGGGCCTTGCAAAGGCAAGCGAAGCCACGCTCGGGATCCCGCTCGGGATCCCGCTCGGGGCGAACGCGGATGCCATGCAAAGGCGTCACTCTTGCGGAAGCCATACAGTTAGCACACGCCAGACCCTCTTGCACCTCGCTTGGCCGTGTCAGCCAGGACTCTTCGCATCACGCTTGCCAGCGCGCTTCTCCTACAATATTTGCCGTTTCCTGCAATGGCGTCTTGATAATTGAATTTGGCTTGGGGATTCACAAACAACGAGCCCCTAAAAGCCTGGCAACTGCACCCCTAAAAGCCTGCTTCTCCACCGCTAAAGCAATGCCTCCTGCGACTTGAAAGCGCGCCCGTAGTAAAACGACTGACATTATGAAGAAGCTTGCTTCGTCGAGTGTTGCATCATGTTGCGCGCAAACGCAAACGCATTACCGTCCCGAACTCAAGCTGGGCTAGGACACAGTGTGGAAGCTCTACCCGCGAGAAAAGACAAGTCCATCATCCTGAAAAAACACCGTGCTCTGGTTTTACTCTTGAAAGCCCACAAACACGCTCGAAGTTTTGCTGCGCAGAGGGGCTTGGGATCCTGCTCGGGCTGAGCACAGACGCTGCGCAAAGGCGCTGGTGAGGACCAAAAGCAGACACAGTCGGGATCCCGCTCGGGCCAAACACGTGCGCCGCGCCAAGGCGCAGATAAGGACCACTCGGGCCAACTACTATGGATGCAACTCGCAGGCGGCTGAAAGGACCAAAACGGCCAGGCTCGCTAGCCCGCTCGGGATCCCGCTCGGGGCGAGCACGGGTGCCACGCAAAGGCGTCAGACCCTCTTGCCGAAGCATACAGTTAGCACACGCCAGACCCGCTTGCGCCTCCTTTGGCCGTGTCAGCCAGGAGTGTTCGCATCACGCTTGCCAACGCGCTTCTCCTACAGTTTTTTTGCCAAGCAGACTCGCTCGGGATCCCGCTCGGGTCAAGCGCATCAGTCCTGAAAGATCCGCTACCTCGCCACCACCTTGCGACAGCGAGAAGAATCGCCATGCTCGGGAGTCCACTCGGGATGCAACGCGCAGGCGGCTGAAAGGACCAAAACGGCCAGGCTCGCTAGCCAGCTCGGGATCCCGCTCGGGCCGGCTACGGATGCCACGCGAAGGGGCCTTGGCGGGCAAACTTAAGACTTTCAGGATCCCGCTCGGGAGAAACGCGGATGCCACGCACAGGCATGTGCGAACGCAAGCGCAAACGCACTTGGGCTTCCGCTCAGGCTAAGCAAGCTTCAAGAATCCGCTCAGGCTGAACTTGTAAGGCCCAACATACGGCCAAACCTCTGACTTACAGTTAGCACACGCCAGACCCTAGCGCCTTCTCAGCTGGTGTCAGCCAGGACTCTTCGGATCATCACGCTTGCCAATGCGCTCCTCCTAACTACAGTCTTTGCCCTTCACTGAAATGGCAACGCAGCAGTTTTAGTGCGTGGCATGCACCCCCATTATTCGGCGAAGGGCGCGCTTCTCCCTTAGGTGCATCCATCGGCGCAACTGCGGCACCCCCCCCCCAGGATGTTTCGAAGTAATGATGATTCTGGCATGGCAACCTGCAACAGCACCCTGCGCAACTCTGCAGCACCCTGCGCAGCTCTGAGTCTCGTCCTGTCTTCCTTCCTTCCTTCCTTCCTTCCTTCCTTCCTTCCTTCCTTCCTTCCTTCCTTCCTTCCTTCCTTCCTTTTCCTTTGTTTCTTTTGCTTCCTTTGCTTCCTTTGCTTCCTTTGCTTCCTTTGCTTCCTTTGCTTCCTTTGCTTCCTTTGCTTCCTTTGCTTCCTTTGCTTCCTTTGCTTCCTTTGCTTCCTTTGCTTCCTTTGCTTCCCTTGCTTCCCTTGCTTCCCTTGCTTCCCTTGCTTCCTTGCTTCCTTGCTTCCTTGCTTCCTTGCTTCCTTGCTTCCTTGCTTCTTGCTTCCTTGCTTCCTTGCTTCCTTGCTTCCTTGCTTCCTTGCTTCCTTGCTTCCTTGCTTCCTTGCTTCCTTGCTTCCTTGCTTCCTTGCTTCCTTCCTTCCTTCCTTCCTTCCTTCCTTCCTTCCTTCCTTCCTTTCCTTTGCTTCCTTTGCTTCCTTCGCTTCCTTCGCTTCCGTGCTTCCGTGCTTCCTTCCGTCCTTCCTTCCAATGCCCATGTAAAGCTATTTTGATGCCAAGCCTTATTTCAAAGACCTTGAACAATCCGACTGCCAGACTAGTTGGAGTGCTAACTGTTGGGCCTCAACCACGGCTTGGGAAAAAAACGCTGCGCAAGCGCCCAAACAGTTAGCACTCAACGTTGGAATGCCGTGTGCTAACTGATTGATACCCACTATAACCCCAGGTCAAGAGTTGACTAACCCAGGGTCGGCATTGGAAATTGACATTGCCCGAAGGGCTAGCATAGACAATGGGAAGGACATGGCAATACATTTGGCTTGGCTTGGAAGCATTGGGATTTGGAGCGTGGGGGCCTTGACAACCGTAGGAACAACTGGGAACCCATATGCAGTTCAGGCATATAACTTCTAACCATTACGAACGTGGCTTCAAACGGGCAAACCAGGTTGTCAAAAAAGTGCCGGTGAGGCCCGAACCCGTTACGGGCTGGGGAAACTTGGGATGAATACCCCAGCTAAGTCCCTGGCGCTTTCAATGAGTTACTTTTTTTGCAGCCGGACGGGCAGAAGCAAGAGTCGCCCTTTTTGGGTGCTTTTGGAAAGACAACTCAACAGAAGCCCACATATTCTCGCGCAGGCCATTCAAGACACACAAAAACAACCTGCAGCCAGGGCCGAGCTGCAGCTTGATCTCGTTGACCACGCAGTTGAGGCGGTTTCTGCTCCCATCCTTCCGGCCGGTGGAACATGGAAGAAAGCTCTGGTGGCAAGTTTCCCTTAAGCCACTTCCCCGTGGGAAAGGTGTTCTGTGGCCTCCATGTTGGCGGGACCCACAACCAATCAACCCTCAACACGGCTATGACCTTTGAAGGGTTGGACACAAAGGATTGGTGGGGTTCCAAAATGCCCGTGCCGCGACCAATTCACGGTCCAAAGGCTCGAAGGGTCGCTGGGAAATGGATTTCTTTGGGGGTGCCTCCTCGACCCCAAGAACTCCAAGAGCCCCATCCACCCTGCTCTCCCTAGACCAAAGCGCTCCCTTTTAAATGAACAGCGAACTGTCTGCCATGTGTGGTGTCTGTGAACTTTATCACGGTGGAAATGGGGCCCTTGGCGTTCAATCATTTCCACAGGCCAAAGCAATCCTGAGTGGATCTGTTTGAACAAGGAACCAAACTGTTCGTGTACCACTGAAACGGTCCAAATCCCAAAAGGCTATCAAAAGTGAGTCAGAAAAAGTAACCACGCTTAAAGTCTATCAAAAGTCGGTCAGGGGTACCACCAAATTCCCGGAATCCACAAAACGTCCATGAGCCCTTTGCAGTGAGATCCATGCTGACCTCTCGGAGGCGGTGCCTCCCGCTGGCTGAAGCTTACGGTGACCCGGTGCTGGGAATCGGAGCTGCTGGGGCCCACCACAGTGCCCAAGACACCCTCCCGGACCACGACCTGCGCGAAGCAACAGACGTGACTTTACATGGGTGTGTCTTATTTTCCAGGGTACCCCCTTTTTGAGCCATAGAGGTTCGCCAAACGGACATGTCACTTATGTCATTTTCGAAGGGCAACCCCTGAGGCAAGGCCCAGTGTTTTCCGTTTCCATGTGCCGTGACCAAACGACCAAAGAACCCAATCAGCCGCAACAAAACAGGCGAAAGCGAAAGTGGCAACTGAGATCAACTGAGATTGAAACCAGCCAACAGGAGCCGAACTTCCAAATTGCAACGTGTAATTCTGTAGATCCCCTCCCCTTCCAAAGGCCACAATCCAACTGTGGAACTTCTTCAACCATGATTGGTGGAAACAACCCTTTGGCCTCCCTTTGAAGGGTGCCTGCCCCACGTTCCGATATTGACTCCCGGGCTTTTTGGCGCTTCGCAGGCCCAGGCCTGGCCGCCCACGCGCAGGTCACGCGTGGCAATGACCGCGTTGCCGCGGCGGTAGTTGCCGGGGATGTTGGTCTCTACGTCCGAGGGGTCGCAAATCAACTCTTCCTCATCCGCAAGGCCCATCCATTGGGTAACCAGGAAAACGCCATGAAAAAACGCCAGGCAATATCCTGGCTACCTTGTATAGAGAAAAGTGTCAGGGCTGAACCAAGTGTCAAGAACGTCTGGAGAAATCAGTCAATTACCAATCCCTGCTGTGCTTTGGGAAGACCAACTCCTCCTCAGGAAGGCGAAAAACAGTTTTTCAGGCGTAAAACAATTATTATAAAACCGACAAAGGCTGGTCCCCAAACCATTCTCCATCGAGCAGGCCTCTTCATAAACAAAAACAAACAGCCGTTTGGACAAATACCATATGTAAATGGTTGTTTACGGTTCCAGGAGGACATGGACCCGTGGACGTGGGCAGCAGACTTGTTCTGGCTTGGGCCAGGAACAATTTCGGTTGGCTTTCCCAGAAACAGGGTCACCCAAGGTTCAAGGGTAGACCCCGCAAAAGGGCGGACACATGCCACTGGAATATTCCGCAAGAGTAGGAATTGGACCCAAACAAAAGGTGGACCAATGCAGCCGGGTTTTTCCAAAATCAGGAAACTGGACTTGGAATCCTTGTGGCTTCCGTGTGTACAACCCTTGAGCTCGAACGAAACCATGACGCTTCCCAAGCCATTTCCATCAAGCAGGTCTCGTTGGAAGTGCTTGTTTGGGATACCGAATTTCAGCCCATGGAATCGGTGGAAACTGGCCACGGCCTGTTGCCTCTCAACGGCTAGAAAGGTTCGTCACCAAAACCGTGAAAGACTTTAAACCACGGAGTTGTTCACCCGTTAAGTTGGCCCGGGTTTGGGCTCCCTTTCGTAGGGAGTTGATTCGCTTTCGCGGGTTTCCTTGATGAAGTTGGTCCTCAATCCGAAGTTGACAATAGCAATCCGACATGAGCAGTCAAAAATAGTCAAAATGACTTGCCCCCCAAAGAGGGCATGGACAGTTTCTTGAGTCCCATGATTTTGTGGCGGACATTTCCTGAGTCCACCATGTTCCTCCTACAGCACATGGATCATAGACAAACCTTCCGCGGCCCTGCCGAGGCACCACGTGATCCTGGCTGTTCAGGGCAAAGCGCACCAAAAGCCGCCGAAAAAGCGGATCCCGGGCAGGGCCGATCACCACCTCAACTCGGCGCGACACGAATCGGCACGAACCCACCAAATGAGTGCAGGTTAGCTGATTCCTTTTTCTATGAATGGACTTGCTTTTTGGTAGTTCCATGTTGGTTTCCAGGCTTGCTATGCGCAGACCGCGCTTTTCCTCTGCTCCTTGATTCAAAGGGGCTTTGGTTACCCCATGTTCACAACCTCAACGGGCTCCCCCTCGCTACTCGTAGCGAAAAGCTGCCGTGGGATTATTTACCCACTCAAAAAAGAGTCCTCGCGATAAAACAAATATGCCTTTGCATCCGCAAGAACCCGCTCAAGCCCCTCACCTGTTTACCGCCTGCATCATCTCCCAATACCTGCCTCATCTGCTTCTGCGTCCAACCGCGTCCGCGATTGTCATGTTGAAACTGATTGCCTTGTGGCGTCTTCAGCCGCTCCGGGATGTCGACCGTGATCTGAAGCCGTTCCAACGGGGTCGACCTCAGCCACCTCTCACAGAGCTGCTTGGCCTGTTCCATCCGACGCTTGCGAGAGAGAGGCCCCACCAGCGCCAGCCAATCCCCAAGCGTCAACGGGGAATGATGATTGGCCGGAGCTCGGCAACTCAATTTTCCAGATTCAACCTGCTCAGGCCACTTCTCGTTGCCCTTCTCCCACGGCTTCCAATCATCCCAACGGGTCCATTCCGCCTTGGGGTTCCATCCATCATATCCCCAACGGTGGTAGTCTTCGTTTTCCCATTGAGGCTCCCAACCTTGATCTCCTTTTTCGACCATCTGCAATTCCAGTGGAGGTTCTCCCTGCGGCACCCTGGCACCACCAGGCGTCCTCAACAAGCCCCTCGTCGGTGACCTGAATCTTCTGCCCAGTCTCACCATCTCTTGAGATTCTGCTCGCCTCGGTGGTGGTGGTGGTGGTGGTGGTGGTGGTGGTGGTGGTGGTGGGGGCCGATGCACTTGGCGTTGCAAAGACCTCATCAATGGGAGTTTGAAACCTCGGCTCCTCCAACCCTCCACCTCCTCTTGCCACTTCCCCACTTCCTTGCGTAGTCCTTTGATGACGCCAAACAGATATTCTCTCTGTTGTTCCATCCCCCGGATCTTCCTACACGCTTTCATGCAGTTCTTCTCCATCTCTTCAGCAAGATCCATTTCTCCGATCAACTCCTCCCCATCGTGTTGTCTGGGTCGTTCTGGGATCCAGACCTTAAACTCATCGTTCCAGAACCAGTCCAGGTTCAGCGAGGTGCTTCCACTGCTCCTCTTGCCTCTCTCTTCTAGTCCTTCTGGATCTCGTGAGGCCTCTGCTCCTGGAACCGCTTTTTCCGTTCTTCGGCACTCCTCTCCCCACAGCCGCTGATCCCGCAACTCTGGATCTTCCTCTTCCACCTAAAGTCGAACTTCTCGCTCTTGCCGTTGAACACCACCATCACCTGGTTGTAGGGCCCGACCCTCCTTTGCCGTTGAGGATTTCCACCATCTGCCCGTAGAGCTCTGTGATCATGTCGAAGAGCTCCGCCATCACCTCGCTGTACTGCTCCCCGACCATATCCTCCAGCTCCTTCTTCTCTAGCCTGTGGAAACCCAGGTTCAGGTCCAGATAGATCCCCACCATTCGCCATTCTTGCACCTTCCAGTTCCGGAACTCAATCTCCTGACCATACCCAGGAAGATCTCCCGCGGGAGGGCCCCCACCTCCATTGCTCTCTTCCCTCGCGATCTCGGCCATTTTCGAGTTCTCGGATCCAGGGACCTTGGGCAAGTCTTCCGGCCTCATAGCCTGCAGATATGCTTCATCTACAGCTCGTTTGCTCCAGAAAGGATTTACATCCACCCGCCGTTCCCCGGTTTCGTCTGGCCTTCCCGAGCGTCTCTCCCTTCACGAATTCCTCCGGCTCTTGGATTTTCCTCCTCCGGATTCCCTTCGATCTGGCCCTCCTGCTCGGCGACCATGATGTCTGGGTCCGCTGACTTTGTTCTCCGCCTTCTCATCCCCGCGTCCATCGCGAGGCTTAGAACGGGGTTGGGCTCATAACCCTTGCTATGCGCAGACCGCGCTTTGCCTCTGTTCCTTGATTCAAAGGGTCTTCGGTTACCCCATGTTCACAACCTCAACGGGCCAGGGAAGCTACTCTCCTGACAGGTTGGCATTGTTGAAACTCCCGCCATGAAGAATTAGTTGAAACATTGTCCTGAAGAGGGATCGTGGCACCCTTTTGATTTTGATTCTCTTGTCAAGAAAGTAGCAGTGGGATCGAACTGAACCTCCAACCTAAGAGCGCTCCAAGACAACATGTCCATAATCCCGCCAACAAAAAATCCAACCCCAACAGCTCTGGAAAGAAACCATGTTTAACACGCTTCCTCAAAGGATACATCCAAAAACCACCTGCCTAGCAAAGGGCTCCTCTCACACCAAAAGACAGTCGCCGCCGGTCAAGGCACTGACTTCTATCTTCACACAAGTGTCAGGATTTTGCCCTCTTACATCCCCTGGATGAAACCCTACGAATACTGGGGCAAAACCACGTACTCTCTACTTCCCTTGTACCCAAATTCCGGGGCAAAATGCCCAGCGGATCATCGATCCCAGTTACCACTATAGGCAACTAGCCGTGTGGTTCCCTTGGTCACCCACAAATGGAAATGGAAATCACCGGGTGTGGTTGGAAGGACCCCGTTCCCATGGGAAAACCACCAATGCCAACAGTTGGGCAAGCGCTTTTTGTTGGTCGACTCCGCTTTGGCGTGCTGAAGGCAAGTTTGGGCCAACTAGGGCACGCTCTAAATCAGATGGTATTCAGGTTATTTCTGCTCTGGCCCCGATGTATCCTAGGACCGTGAGCCCGGACTTCGCATCCCCCGACTTAGTTGGGGGTTCGGTTCAACGTGCTGCACCAAGTGTCAATCAAACTGTTTCAACAGCCGAGCCTTTCCTTGGCTGGTCCGCTCGTTGCAACCGGTTAAACCTTTTGCAGGCTGGCGGCCAGCGGGGAAATAGTCACTTTCCGAAAGGTTTTAACGATTGCCGCAAATCCCATTGTAATTTCCACCTGAAATGTACATTCATGTACATTCTACACAATTGCTTTCAACACCCGCCCAATTACTCGGGTTGACAAGAATGCCACGCTTTTGTTGTTTTTGTCACGCAAAATGGACTCTCCCAAAATCATAAAGTTCAGCAACTCAGGCAGCAAGTTTCGCTTTCCAGCAACCCTGGGTGCAAAACCGAGGGTCTGGATAAACGTCCCTTTAATCTAAATCCAATAGTATGATCTAGAATATCAAGCACAAACATGGAACCTGACAGAGGGCCCCTGGAGAAAATGGTCTTCCACTGGGTTCAGGGATTTAGGCTTCCGTGTTTATTCGTTTGCTTGTGGGCTACTTGGATCTATTTAGCCCCTCAACCGTCGGAGCCTCCCGTGCGAGGCGCCCCGAAGCTTCCGGCCGGGATCACCACGCCGCTGGGTGGCTCCAGCGGGCGGCGGGAGCGGACACGTGTGCCGGCCAAGTAGCCCCCGGGCAAGGTGTGCCTCCAATGCCGGCGTCTCAATGTCTGAATTTTAATAGGGGGTCCTTGGTGGATTCAAGTGATTTATGACAACTCACTTGTGAGGGGTGCCTGATGGGAAATTCATGGACCGGTGGGGGAATGGGGAAGCCCCCCAGTAGGGGATTGAGTGGTGCACCCTTTGGACGGTTAAAGGAAGCCTCCAGGAAATCCATCTTTCTAGGAGTCCAATTCCTTTGAGAAACGCAGAAATGGCCGCTGTCCTTTTGTCTTTCCTGTTAACCAGCTTGGTTTCCCCCGGCCTCGGCTGAAGCAGATCGCTTTGCTTGGTCCGATCCACGGCGCTCAAACGCGACGCGCGTTTTCTATTTACTTGGCCCCTGGAAGTGCTCGCAAAATGGGTCTTCAAGATTCCTTTTGGGTCCGGTTTCCCATTTGACCACAATTGTGTGGCTAACCAATGAGGATGGCTTACTGAAATGGACCAGCAAGATTCCGGTAGCTCACCCCAAAGCAAATCGAACATCCCAGTTTATCAATGTGTTCGGTCTCCAAAAGGATTTCTATTACCCTGAGGCACTACGTACCACGTCGGACAAATGCGGAATACACTCTTTGTCTCACCTGAGTGGAGGGGCCAAAAACAATGCATTTGCTTTCGTCAGCCAGCTATACAGTGGCTTTGTAGAATGCTATAAAATCATAGTCCTTGGGGCTAGAGGCTTGTAGGAAATCAGAAACCTCCTTAGACCGCGCCAAGGCGCCTGAGTTCATCGGGCAGGCAATTTAGCCGGTTCTCGCTTTGGTCCTCCGAGGCTGGGGCTGACCAGTCGCCACTCCAAACACGCAAACTCTTGGGGAGCAACTCGAATGAAGAAGCTTAGCAACCAAAAACGTGTTCTCACAGGTAAGAACATGCTCAAACCACCAATGTTGGGAACATTCACTGTAATTAGGCCAGTGTTAATCGTCTTCGTGCGGCTTCCCTTTAAGAGGCGTCTGCCTCTTTCGCGTTCCAGCATTGATCCAGAGCACCATGCTACTCGAATCAACTTGGAATCACGATAGGAAACCCTCCCTGACAAGTACCGCCCTGCGGATTAATGCAAAGTGGACCAAACCAGTTTGGCCCCTGGGTTCATGCCCAAAACCCCTCTCGCTTTGGAGTAGCGTCAAGTGGGTCTGAGCTTGGCAACTTGGACCCATGGCCCCCGACCGATTTCCTCCCGCTGCTCGAACTGCACGCAGATGCGCCCAGACGACGAGGCGGGGCCCACCACGTACCCGCTGCCGCCCTGACGGGTTTGGAGGTGTGGAGGGTCTGTGCCAGCTTAGGGAAACCAAACGGAGGTGCTAAACCACTGGTGGGTGGTAGCCATGGCTTTTGTTAAGCCAAGGCACCCCGCTTTGGATTGAGAGTGGGCATATGGTTGCTGACCCTCTTCACTGAACGGGGACTTGCCATGGGTTTGGTGGTTGCCTACCCCGCAATTCGTCGATCTAGACCCGAGGTCATTTTCAGGCATGGTTTCAACCGCCTTTAACCAAATGTTGGTTTTGCTGCAGCAATTCGATCAGGTTCCGACCGGTGAGCTGGTTTATACCCTCTAGTTTTCCAAAAAAGAAGCCTTAATTAAGTGGAGAAACAGCGGGGAGGGGGGGGGGGAGTTCCTAATCACAAAAAAATGCCCAGGAGGAGGAGGGTGGAGTTCGCGTGCATGCGGATCGAGTCTGATCTCCGCCTGTCGCACCACCACCCGACCGCGAACGCGTAGATCCCGGCTGGCCACCACGGTGTCGCCGGCAACGAAGCCTCCCACATCCGAAGATGTCACCTCAGTTCCCAGCATTGGGTCCATTAAATCAAACTTACCTGATCCACATAAAGTGGTTTAAAGGGAAGCCGCAACAAGTCACAAAGAGGCCTCGGGGTTTTGGCTGCTCCAAGCCTCCAAAACCAGCAAGAGGTCCTTGGACCTCTTAGCTGGTGTGGGGAAGCCTTTGTCTTGGCTCCGAAAGGTCTAAGGGGCTTGTGGGTCACACCAAAGGCCGGTCATGGTTGGGGGCCTCTGCGTTTTTTCGACCAATCCGCTTTTTGCGGCCCATGCGCCTTTAAAAGGCGAAATGGAAGTCAAACAACAGGGGGGTTGGAATAACAGGGTGACGGTTTTAGTTGGGCATTGGGTTTGCCACCCAATAAGTCGCTCCTTTCTGGGATTCCTTGAAGACATCACCTCAGCTCCTAATACTTCTCTGAGCCCATACGTAAGCCCCTATGTTGGTCAAATTGTTGAACGATGGTTCAATTATGAATCGGGCACCAAAGGAAAGGGGTCCCACCAAATCACGGGGGTCCAAGAGATCACATCCACGTCAGGGACATGTAGGCTCGGTTGCAACCAGGCAGGGTCCCCTACGTTTCCTCTTGCAACATCACCCCACTTATTGGCAGGTGAGGTTTCAAATTTTGAGGGGCGCAAACAGTGGTTTTCCCTGTTTCCGCAACTTATTTGGCCACGGATCCCGCTGTTTCCCAGTTTCCTTTTGTCCATGATCTGACATTCAAGCGAACACTTCAGCTGGCTCTAGAATGTCAGGGTTAGCAAATTAATATGATTGAGAACCGGGCACTGAATAAATGTATATGTATGTACGCACGTACGTATATATGTATGTATGCATGTATGTATTCATGTACGCATATATACACGCATGCATGTCAGTATGAATTGTCTTGATCCCATCCACTCACTTCTGACCGAGTGGGTTTGCCAAACAAAGTCATCAAACCTGTTCTTTACCACTTTTAAAATGGTCAAGTAACCAAAGTCCGAAATGGAAAAGGCGTGGGTTCGGATCCAAATAGGACTGAACCTGGGTTTGTGAAATAGCTGGTGCCTTCGGCCTCAAGCATCATGAAGCTCGCTCGCAATCGCACGGACATTGCGACTCCCCAAACGGAACCCCCATCCAAATCCGCAACCAAAACGGAATGCTGAAAAGACCCAGAGGGAAATACAAGGGTTTGTGTCTAAAGAAGGTACTTCCGAAATAAATGGCTTGTTTCTGTGTTTTGCCAGGGCATCTGCTTGCCCCGGCAACCTAGCTTTTTCTAGCCGTGCCCTCCGCACTCACGGATCCTTCTGCTCAGAAAGTTGCCCAACATCTGGGACAACGGGTGGTTTCTCAATCGAACGATGGGTGAACAGCCACTTCCTGAGATTGACCACCAACAACGTCCGAACTTGTTGGCCAATAAAACAAAAAAAAGCTTTCCTAAAAGTCACCCGGAAACTCGGGGAGTGAGGAACCAAACAGGGGAATCAACCTGATGCCAAACTCGGTTCACCTCGGGCAAATAAAGGTATTTGCCGATTCCCGTAGCCCCAACCCGAGCCGAAAAGCTGTCTGTTGAAACCGCCGCCTCCGCACATTAATTAACATATTTCGCGAAATGCTGTGCAAAATAATCAGATGCGGGATTTGGGTACTTACAAACCTAATGATTACCCCATGTTAACCCAAAAGCTAAAGCTGATGTTATGCTCGAAAGGGGAAAATAGTGGGACTCCTGCATGAGGCCGTGAATGACAAACCTTGCGTGGGCCAGTTCGGGAGTAACCGCGCTGAACAGGGTCGAGGTTCCACCCGAAGTGGCCTTCCCAAGGCAGTATAGTTTCAAGCCACCCTCAAGATGTTTTACAAGCATGGTACACAAACTTGTACATCTTTGTTAGAAACAGATGTTCCTCCAAATCGCCTGCTTTTGGCATGGTCCGGTTTCCGGGTCCCAGGTGCGTCAGCGGTGTCAGGCGCGCTGACATCTGAAACTGCTCGGGGAGGCATGCCGGACACAAAGAGCTTGAGCCATTTCAGCAGCTGAAGGCGGCCACGTTAGTAGCGGGGTCCCGAGTGCAAGCTGTAAACCTCACCGTCAGTCCCAAGGGAATCCCTTCAAACCACACAAATTCGGAAATATGGGGATGCCGGTTCTGATCCAGACCTCCAGGTTCCTTGCTGCGACTGCAGAACTTCTGGCAGTTCCTAAGCTCCGTTTGGAGGGGGGAAGTTGGATACCCCCCCCGTTTGAAACCGCCAAGGCAAGTAAGTTTGAAGGGAATTCAAATGAACTCAATTTGCCCAAAAAGCCAAACTCAACTTATGTTTGTCACTGAGATGATCTTTCCCAGAAAGTTTAGCGTCCAGGGACTGGAAGTGAGCAGCTTTGCAAATGAGGAAGAATCAAAAGGTCAAATCCGGTTGGCGCCTTGGCCTTGAGGATGCAGAAGAAAGGCGAGGGCACGTGGTCATTGCAAAGGGCAAAGGACAACCCAGAAATATTCATCGATGGGAAAGGCCTGGCCCGCCCTGCCCCACCGCCGGCAAGTAGCATTGGCAAATGACATGATCCGCCACATCCTTCGCTCACAGCGGGCGGCGCTCCAACCAAGCGCTGAAGGTATGTGCGTCGTCAAAGCTTGGCCCACATCCGTGCACATAAAGCAAATATATACGTTCTGACCTATACATAATCGTTTAACATTCCTTGTTGCACATAATCGAATGTACTAAATTGCTAAATCCTATTTTAATTTGTTCCACATTTAGTCTCCGGCATAAAATCGTTTTGGAGACCCGTGACGACTGCTGAAATCCGCGGTTCAAGGGCACGGGCAAAGGATCACTGACCGGGCCTCGGGCTCCGATCTCCATGGATCCCGCCTACATCGATTCGCAGCGAGAGAGGGGGGTAGTTGGAGGCCCAAACACAACCGCATACCCCCAAGAAGCTGGTTGCAAACATATGTGTTATTTTGGCAAAATAGAAGGCCCTGGTAAATGGAGTAAAACACATCTAAACCAGAGGACTCCGTCACATGCATAAACTGGCGGCTGTCCGTGTATGGCATGGTACAACTTCAAATGGTGTGGTTTCCAAATGCTTGTTAAACACTCTGTCCTCAACTGAAAGGATGCTCTAATAATGTCGTTTTCATATTTTGGTTGAGGGTACTTGGGGTGTGTTTTCTCGGTCAAGCTTCATCGCGAGGCCCAATTTACCTCAGTTTCCTGGTGGTATTTTATGGTGGCCCACATCTGAGGCAGACAGAAACTGTAAGTTCAGATCCTGTTTGATACTTAGCCCAACCGCAAAATAGAAAACCGTTCTGAAGAAGACCCCAGTTTGTTTCAAGGCCGGTTGTATTCGCCCACATGAACCCATGAACATCTTGGTGCCAGAAGCTCCTGGCCTCCCATACTTCAGGCATAGGCAGAAACCATGGGCTCGCACCGGGGGGTCTCATGCATTCTGACCACAGCAGTAGACGGGCCAATCCTTGCCGTTTGTCTCTGTTGCTTAAACATCATCCCTTTGGACCCGCTTTCAAGGTGCCCAGGGTATGGTTGCTTCAACATGTTTTGCCCAACCGTTTTTGGGTGCAACAAGGGGGCCGTAATGTAACCCAAAGGGCGCTTCCCAAAGTGGGGCACGGATAACGTGTTTTGAGACCCAGTTTCAAACAGTCAAAGGATAAAAGACAAAAAGCCGGCCTTGTTTGGTGGGCCCTTTTCTCTCCTGAAAATCCAGATGACTCTCTCTAAGCAACAAACCCTGGTGACGCATGCATGGAACAACTCGCATTTGATCGGATGCTCTTTGTTGTGTTGCAAACTGGATCGCCCCTGCTCATGTTCTCGTTCCAAAAAGCCTCATACCTCATATGGGCGTGTCTGAAAATAGGGGACCCCTAAAACGGTTGGTTTCCATTTGGTTTCACCTTTCAAAACACCAGCAACAAGATGAACCATCAAAAGTGAAATACCCGTATTGACGGTTGCAACTGGATTCTGATCCAACGCCGGGCCTCTGGAGGCAGTCTCTGCATGCCGCCTCAGCTCACGAGAAAGTCGGCTTGTGATGGCCGTGCTGCAGGGAACCAGGTGCACCGACCAAAGAAAGACAGGAAGAAGAAATTGAGAGGGAGGGAGGGAGGGAGGGAGGGAGGGAGGGAGGGAGGGGAAGGGAACGGAAGGGAAGGGAAGGGATGGGAAGGGAAGGGGAGGGGAGGGGAGGGGAGGGGAGGGGAGAGGAGGGGAGGGGAGGGGAAGGGAGGGGAGGGAGCGAGCAAGTCAGGAAGGAAGTCAGGAAGGAAGGAAAGGAGGAAAGAAGGAAGGATGGAAGGAAAGAAGGAGCATATAGAAAATGGGAAATTATTTACTTGAGGAGCGGGTGAACGAAAGCCAGCAGTTGTTGCATGAGATGGGTCGGTGACAGAGTGGATTCATAGGTAGCTTGTGTACAACGAGAGGCCCCTCAAGATTCGTAGGATGCGACACGCAAACGCACATGGTGGCGTGGCAAACCTTGAAACATTAAAGCAACGAGAGGCGTCAGAAGCTGTCTTAAAGCAATTCTGGGTTCTGCATGCAGCGTGTGCAAAGATTCTTGCGAGGTGGTTTACCGAGAAGACTGAGGTCTCAAATGAACAAGCTGAATCGGTGGAACATGTAAAAGTTCGTAGCACCAAGTCCAAAACGGGCAAACCGAGACTGCTGAACACTGAGCCACTGCCCGGGGGGGGGGGATGGACCAGGGAGGAATCGAGCCTGAGACCCGGGGGGGGGGGGAGGGGGGGGGGGTCTAAATAATTGATGTTTTTCAATCTTTTCGGCTCAAATAATTGAAAAAATCAATCTTTCGGCATTTGAGCCCCTTACCTTGCTTACGCAAGGAGAAACTTCAGCTAGCTAAAGCTAGCTTTCGTGACAAGGGCAAAACTGCGCCAAATAGCAATCGCCTCACTCTGTGCTCATGACGTACAGGGCTCCTAGGTCCTACAGCCGATTC